TTGAGCCCTGCTGGTGCTGATGGCACCCAGCTCACAGAGCTGCCAGGTGGGAGGAGGTGCTCCTGCTGCCCGTGTGTTCCATCTGGATCCTCAGTCAAGGGAGGCACTTGGCAAAATCAGGTGTGAAACCTGTGGTGCAGAGCAGAGTATTGTGAGACCAGGGCACAGCAATCCCAACCCCTCTCCTCAGGCCTCAAATCCCAGAGAAATCCCAGCAATGCTTGCTGATTTCCCTCTACAGCCAGGAATTTTCTAAAGGTATCACTGGATATTTTATTACAATAAATAATTTTATTTAGACAGCACGACTCTTGCAAGGAGAAAAGGAAAACCCGGCAGGGTCTGTGATTCACTGGCATAGTTTCTGCCAAAAGCCTTTAGAAAGATTTAATTCCAGTTGCAAATGTTGAAAGTCAATCTCTGTGTAGCAGAAAAGCAATGGCATGAAAGGGACACCAGGGAATAATTAGAAGCAGAGAAACCCTGTGTTTATACATAGACAAGGCTTGTCTTATAAATGCAATTACCCACCATTCTGGGACCAAATCCCAGCTATAATCTTGTTCTGGCACCAGCTCACAGCCCTGGCGTCCCACAAGACATTTGGGTGCCACTGGCAGATTAAGCGTGGCACCAGGAGGAGGAGGCTGTGCTAAAAGCAGCAGCCGGACCCGGTGGCACCACGGGGTCTGTCCCAGCTCCTGCAGACAGCCTGCCTGCAAAAACAGCGGCTCCTCCAGCCTCCCGACCCAGGCACGACACCCAATCCCTGCACACAGCATTCCCCAAAATCTTTGCACGGGCCAAGATGCCAGGTTAAGAGTCTTGTTATTTATACTGATCTTCTCCCTGCAGCGTTTCAGCACCTAGAGAGACCTCCTCTCTCCTGCAGGGCTTTTAGATCCCACACCACCAGCCTGGAACTTTTGGAGCTGATACTCACACAAGGCTGTTCTTTAGGACAACTCCACTCCAGAGCCACGTGCATCTGCCCCTCAAGTTTTAACCTGATACAGAATTGACCCACAACTATTTACCTTCCAGGTCCCTGCCACGCTCAGGCCGACAGGTACTTCCAGGTGCTGACGAAGGCGGTGGGGATGAGGGAGTAGGGCACCGTGGTGACGCTGCTCCAGCTGTCGGACGAGGGGTCGTAGCAGTCCAGGGTTTTGCAGCGCTGAGCCCCGCAGTAGCCCCCCACCACGTAGAGCCTGTTCCCTGAGGTGACAGCGCGGCAGCTGATGCACTTGGCCGTGACATCCCCAAACTTGGACCACTGGAAGGTGTCGCTGTGGAAGCGGTAAGCGGAGCTGGCGGAGAACTCCGTGTCCCCGCCGATGACGATGACGTGGCTGCCCACCACGGCGGCGGCCGTGTAGCGCCAGGGCTGGGGGCAGCTGGCGGGCACCGTCCAGCGGTTCTGGCAGGGGTCGAAGCACTGCACCTTGGGCAGCTTGTTCTGGTTGGCGCTGGTGCCCCCGAAAACAAACAGCTTCATCTTGGCTCCCACCACGGCGGCGTTGCTCACGCCTTCCCGGAGAGGAGCCACCAGCGACCACTTGTCCAGCTGAGGGTCGTAGTGTTCCACCTGCTTGAGGGACACGGAGGGAGAGGCCGGGAAGGCCCCGCTCATGGCCGTGTGACCCCCCACCACGTACAGGCAGTGGTCCAGCTCGGCGGAGCCGTGGCCAAACCGCGCCACCAGCATGGGAGCAGCTTTGGCCCACTCGTCGTGGAGGGTGTCGTACACCCAGACGTCCCTGGAAGCGCCGTTCTCAGAGCCCTTGCCGCCGGTGATGTAGACCTTGCAGCCGATGGCGCAGGCGCTGCACTCCTTGCGGGGGCTGGGGATGTCGGCACGAGGGATGATCTCGCTGGTTTTACGGTCCAGCATGTAAATCTTGTCGCACATGAAGGTCTGGCCCCCGAGCAGCAGCAGGGCCTGGCTGACCTTGCGGGGCCGGGCGCAGCACCCCGTCACCAGGCCGTCGTTCTGCAGGATCTTCATTTTGCAGCGCACGGCGTCGGCCACGATCTCCTCCCCCAGCTTGTGGCTGGTCACCAGCTTCTCACAGGCCACCTGCTTCCGCAGGTAGGACTCGGGCAGCAGGGCCAGGCGGACGGAGCGCAGCAGCTCGGGCAGAACTTCGTGGCGTCGGGGCAAATCGTAGCGGATCCAGCCTATAACGGCTTCGTAGACCAGAGTCTCATCCTCCACCTCCAGCTCCTCGCTCTCCACCAGCTCCAGCAGCTTGTCTTTGGGCAGCCGGAGGAAATCTTCAGTCTTGCAGATCGAGGTGAAGTTGGCCAAGGCCATCCTCCAGGACAGCTCCAGCAGCCGCTCGCAGCAGTGGGCATCGGACAGCAGCAGCATGTTCAGGCAATTCCCAGGGTAGAGATTCTTCTCCAGAAAGTCAGCCGAAGCATCCCGGATATCCTGGAACTGCAGCATGTCCCCGGCCTCCAGCAGGGACTCGGCGTTCTCCTCGTTGATCAGCACCCGGGCTGAGTAAGCGTAGTCCAGCAGCAGCTCCAGCACCTCGGGGTGCAGCGAGTCACGGAAGTTGACCTCGCCATCTCTGCTCTCCTTCAGGCCCCCGCTGAACATGGCGTTGAAGTAGCGGCTGCAGGCGGCCAGGACGGCGCGGTGGCAGGGGAAGCTCTGGTTCCCCGCCCGCAGCACCACGTCGGTGAAGAGGTTCTGCTGGCGGAGCAGGTTCAGCTGGGTGAGGAGGCTGTCGGCGTGGCCCGGTTTGTGGAAGAGGTGGATGTTCATGGAGCCGGAGCTCGAGCGGGATTTCCGGTTCTCGTGGCTGCTGACGGACATAGTGCTGAGGCTGCTCTGCGAGGCAAAACCGGCGAGTCAGCACGGGCAGCGCGGTCCCGGGCCCGCCACGGCCGGGGCTGCGGCGGGACGGCGGCCGCGGAGAGGAACGCGGCACCGGCCGGTAACGGGAGCGCGGTGGGGCCGTCCCGAAACGGGGCACCGGGAGCACCGGTCAGCTGCGGGGCACCTACCGAAACGGGGCACCGGGAGCTCCCGGACCCGTGCAGCGCACGACTCCGCCGGGCCTCACGCAGTGCCGGGGAGGGGGAGATGTGCGCTCCCGGTGATGCCCGTGCCCAGCCCGCCCCGCGGTCCCGCACCCAGCTCAGGGGTCCCCCACCCGCTCCGCTGTCCCGCGCCTGACTCGGTTATTCTGCACCCGGCCCCGCGGTCCCACACCTGGTCCAGCTGTCCTGCACGGTTCCCCCTATCTCGTACCCGGTCCGCACGGTCCCCGTTATCCCGCACCCGGTTTCGTACTCGGTCCCGCACCCGGTTCTGTACTCGGTCCCCCACTGTCCCTGCTACCCCGTACCCGGTCCCGTATCCAGTTCCGCACCTGGTTCCACACCCGGTGCCGTACCCGGCCCCACACAGTCCGCGCTATCCCGTACCCGGTGCCGTACCCGGTGCCGTAGCCGGTTCCGTAGCCGGTCCCCGCTATCCCGTACGCAGTTTCCGTTCCCAGTTCCGTACGGGGTTCCGTGCCCGGTCCCGCCCGGTCCCCGCTATCCCGTACCCAGTGCCGTACCCGGTTCCCGGTCCCGCCCGGTCCCCGCTATCCCATACCCGGTTCCCATACCCGGTTCCCGGTCCCGCCCGGTCCCCGCTATCCCACACTCGGTTCCCATACCCGGTTCCGTACCCGGTTCCCGGTCCCGCCCGGTCCCGCTCCGCTCCGGCTCTGCCGCCGCCCCTCCGCCGCCGCCGCGTGGCCGCCCCGGGTCGGCCCCGCCCCCTCCCGCCCCGCAGCCAATCAGCGGCCGCGGCGCGCTGTACTCTGCCTTTGTGAATGGCAGGCGGGGCCAGCCGTGCGCATGCTCCGCTCGTTCACCCCGCCCTGCCCGCGGGCAGCGTGGCCGTGTCCCCTCCCCACGTGCGCGGGGTCCCCGCTGTCCCCCGGTGTCCCACCGTGTCCCACCGTGTCCCCCGGGCCCAGCATCGCGGCACGGCCCGGGCCCAGCCGCGCCACGGGGCCGGGACGGCGGATCTGTGTGAATGGCAGGCGGGGCCAGCCGTGCGCATGCTCCGCTCGTTCACCCCGCCCTGCCCGCGGGCAGCGTGGCCGTGTCCCCTCCCCACGTGCGCGGGGTCCCCGCTGTCCCACCGCTGTCCCCCGCTGTCCCACCGTGTCCCCCGGGCCCAGCATCGCGGCACGGCCCGGGCCCAGCCGCGCCACGGGGCCGGGACGGCGGATCTGAGGCTCCCGAGCCTTGCGGACGGAGTCACCCCGCCATAAAGGGCCATAAACGGGGCAGCCGCGCTGGGACCGGCAGCGCCTGCCCGCGGCCTTTGGATCCCGGCTGCTGACAAAGGCAGGGCACGGCCGAGCGAACCAGCCCTGCTCAGAGCTGTGGAGCCCGGCCCACCATCGGCACCACCAGCAGCGGGGCAGGCTGCTTTCCTGGCCAAGGGAAGGGACTGTCGCCCTCTCGCAGAGGCCACATCAGAAAAAAAGAAGAAAACTACTAAGTTTTGTGAGGATCGGGTCTGCCTGCATAAGGTCTTGTGCTAAAAATGAGCGAGTGCTGCCCTGGAGAGGCAGCAGCAGCCAGCACAGGTGTTTAAACACTGTGTGTCAGCAGGGATCAAAACCACCTCAAGACAAAAATACAAATTCCAGAAATTCTGAATTACCCAATTTTGATTTATCTCTGCACGTTCCAGCTTTACCAGCTGCAAAATAAGGTTATTTGTTGAGGAGTTGATGAAGCAAATGCACTTAGAGCAGTTTACAGTGTCCTTTCTCTACATTAAAATTAATGCATGGTTAAGTGGTTTAATTATTTGGCATCAGAGGTTATGCAAAGTTTTTTTGGTTTTGTTTTTGTTTTTTTTTTTTAATTGGCAGAGCTACAATTGTCCTGTATAGCATTAGTATTAATACTATAGTATATGAATACCTAATAGTATTGTCCTGTGCTGAGCAGTACAGTGAGTCCTGGAGGAATGATTCAATGGGGTTAAGAACACAAAAGAAATCTGATTTATTATTAAAAACCACTAAACTGCAGCAGGAGCCACCACAGTGGGTGACAGGAGCAGGCAACAGCCAGAGGACCTGGGTGCTCCCCCTGCTCAGGCACAGGGCTGAGGAAAGGAGAGAATCAACAAGAGTCTCTTCTGTAAGCCCTGAGTTGCACCAAATCCTGTCAGTGTGGCAGCAATTCCCCAGCACAGCTCAGGGACACTGCAGGGTGAAGGTCCAGATAAACACCAAGGACAGGGCAAAGGATAAAGAGTATCCAGGCCTCACTGCTCTTTGAACACAGGCAGGACACAGCTCCCCCTGCCAGGCCAAAAACAAGCCCACAAAGCAAGGTCAAAGCTCCTGGAAGTGCAGCATGTGCCGTGCTGGGGGCAGGGACACGCAGAGCAAGCAGAACTCTTTTCAAAGGATGCATTTCCATGCAGTCAGGCAGGGGCTGGGAATTTCTGCAGCAGGAGGAAGGCTGGGGACACATGTGGAGCTGCAGCTCACACAGCACTAATGCTTTGGAGCTTTCCAGAACCAAAGATAAAGAACTTCTCCCTGTTATCAGGAGGAATGATCACTCAAGGCCACCTTTGAAACATTTGTGTCGTTTATTATTGGCAACGCCCAGAACTGTAACTGCAAACCCCACCTCGGCATCGGTTTGATTGCTCCTTTGAAAGGTGATTAATAAATTTCCTGCCTTTTTTTTTTTTTAAATAAAAAAAAGGTCGGCGGCTGCCAGAGCCTGGTGGAAGAGCTCCACCCGGTGGCATTCCACAAAGGCACAGCCGGAGCCTCAGCTCTGGGGGAAGTCTCCACTTCCAACATTTCTCCTTAAACGGGCAAGGCAGGCTAGGAAGGTCCACGCTGCTTCCAGCGGCAATTTCCTGCCCCTCTCACCTCTAAGGAAACAAAACGGTCACAAACAGCACCAAACAACAGCCCTGCTGGCTCCTGTCTGAGCCCAAACACCTGCAGAACTCCCAGGACAGGGGTCCCATCCTGGCTCCGAGTGTGAGCTCCCAGGATTCATCCCTCACCAGTTCTCTGTGACAGAACCGTGGCCACTGTGCTCCTTTAAGTGGCAGAAAGCACTGGCAGGTTGCATTTGTCTTTTGGGACCGATGGAAGCAACTCTTTCCCCCTCAGTTTTACCCATTGTAGGAGATCCTTGATTTTCAGAGGATTCACCTGAATTATTTCTCTGATTAAGAGTGATAAAAATTACAGCTGCAAACAATCCACTCTGCAACAGGAATCTGGATTCCAGTCCTGATTGTGGGATATCTGGAAGGACAATCATCAACCCAGGAAATCACCAACCCTGCCTCACTAAAGGCACTTTTACCATGTGAAAACTGGGCTTGTGAAGCTCAGTTTTGGCTTAAGCAGCTTCAGAATTTTTTCCTCTTGATGCCTGGTAGATTCCAATCAGGGAGGAGATGGTCCCCAGGAGTCCTACTAACCATGGAGGGAACCTTCCTGCCCAGAGGAATCCTGGGGGCAGCCAGTGGATTGCGTTGGAGAGATCTGCTGTGTCCATGAGGATGCTCAGAAGCTCAGCCTTCACCTGGGCTCTCAGCTGCTGCTGCCTCTGAGGTGAAGTGCTGCTGGAAGAAAAGGAGATGTCAGTGACAGTCTGTCAGATTAATCCCTTTTCTGACCCAGAGATGGGGTAACTGAGAGGTGTTTTAACAACTTTTATTCCATTTTCAGTCTCATGTGAAGGGTGAGACAATACAGACGTTGTAATTCACACCACCACAATCAGAAATTAACTATTTCCTAATTACAATGCACTGTAAGTGTTTCTTGGCCTATCAGCCTTTGCCACACCATGCTGTAAATGCCTCAAAGCCAATCATCTAAAATTACCCCTCGAGGGTCCTACCACAATGCATCTTTCATTGTTCTATTTCTCCAAAGTATCTAATCTTATTTACAAAACCATCCTCTGAAACTTGTTTCCAGTTCCATTTCTCTCTCAACAACGTCTGTCCCATTCCATGGCATTTCTAAATCAGCATTTCTTATCTCAAGCTTTGCACACAGATGCACACTGTGTGAGCCTTCTGTCAGACTCTGAGAATTCCCTACAAATCCATTTCCCACATTAGTCCAGCATGTCCTCAGAGCTGGGATGGCTGCAGATGAGAACTGGCAGGTGTGGGTGAGTTACAGGAGGGATGGAGAAGGACTTTGGAAAAGGGCATGGAAGGACAGGACACAGGGAGTGGCTTCCACTGCCAGAGGGCAGGGCTGGATGGGATCTTGGGCAGGAATTGTTCCCTGGGAGGGTGGGGAGGGGCTGGGATGAATTCCCAGAGCAGCTGTCGCTGCCCCTGGATCCCTGGCAGTGCCCAAGGCCAGGCTGGACAGGGCTGGGAGCAGCCTGGGACAGTGGGAGGTGTCCCTGCCATGGCAGGGGTGGCACTGGATGGGCTTTGGGGTCCCTCCCAACCCAAACCACTCTGGCATTGCACGATCAGCTCTACAGCCACAGAGGGAAATCATACCACTTGTGCTGACTCAATTTTCTTCTTAACTGGAACAAGATCCTCAGGGATCTGAAAAGCACAGAGTTATTTCTCCTACAGCACCAAACAGGAGGAGTTTCTTTTTTTTTCCTCTTGCACTAACAGCTCCAGCGAGGAAAAGCACCTCCCCCAGCTGTGTCACAGCCCGGTGCCAGGGCAGGACCGTGCCCACCGTACCGCAGGATGCCCAGGAGCAGGGCACAGCCCCACAGCGCCGTGCTCCGCGTCCACCACTTCTGGGAGGCGGCGCGGACGATGCCGACATCCGCGGCCCACGCCAGGTGCTCGCAGGGGTAGTAGAGCTGGTTGGCCGCGTTGCAGAGCACCGAGAGCCCCCTCACCAGCGCGTCCTCGCCCTGCGGGGAGCGGCACAGAGCGGCGCATGGGGCACGGCGGCGGCGGGGCCGGGGGGGCCGCCCGGGAGCCCCGGGGCCGCGCTCACCTCGGGGCCCAGCCCGTAGCTGCAGCTGTGCCGGAGCATGGCCAGGTCGTCGAAGAGGCGCAGGGCGGTGCGGCAGGAGCTGAGCTGGGCAGAGGCGGCCAGGAGCCCCCCGGGCAGCCCCCCGGGGCCGGGCAGCGCTGCCCCCGCCAGCTGGCAGCCGTAGGACAGCGCCCGGAGCTGCGGGGGCACGGCCCGCTCAGCCAGCCCTGCTGAGCCTTGTGCTCTCTTTTTCTCCTTCTTTCGTTCTCTTCTCCTTTCTTTAATTCACCTCTTCAAATTCTCTTCCCTTTACCCACCCCCACTGCGCTGTGCTCCGGCACTCCCCGTTTCCATCCCGTCATTTACCGGTCAAACTTGGATTGTTTGTGCCCCCTCCGCCTTTTGTCGTTCCTTTCCACCACCGAGCACTTACGAATCGCTCAGGTGCTCCCTTCCCCTTAACGGCGGGTCGCTGCAGCAGAGTCGGGTCCCGTCGTTCACCGCCCGGTACCGGAGAGCTCAGAGCCCACTCACCGAGCCCGCTACTGGAAGGCTCAAACCCCTCGCTCACCGCCCGGTACCGGAGGGCTCAGAGCCCTCACTCACCGCCCGGTACCGGAGGGCTCAGAGCCCTCCCTCACCGCCCGGTACCGGAGGGCTCAGACCCCCTCTCCATTCCCCACTCGGTACCAGCGGGCTCGCCCCTCACTCCCCGCCCGGTACCGGCGGGCTCGCCCCTCACTCCCCGCCCGGTACCGGTGGGCTCGCCCCTCACTCACCGCCCGGTCGCGGCCCCGGTGCGTCTCCAGCGCGGCCACGAGCCCCCAGAGCGCGCCCGCCGCCATGGCAACACTTCCGGGTGTGAAGTCACGTGCGGACGCGGGGCACGCCGGGAAGGAGGCGGAGCCGTCGCCATGGCAACGCGGCCTGGCTGCCCCGCGGCCCAGCCGGACCCTGCCCGGGGATGGTGCCCGGCCGGGAATGGTGCCCGGCCGGGGATGGTGCCCGACCAGGGCCGGGTCCTGCTCTCCGTGCCCCTCACGGCCTCCGCACCCCTCCAGCGAATCCTCCGTCCGCCCTTTTCTCACCCCCAGTTTCCCCGTTCTGGGGTTCCAGGCCGGCCCCGCCTCTGTGGTGATGCTGGGCCGGGCCGGGTTGGTTCCGAGAAATCTGGGAAACCCATCTTGTAGAGACCCTTGCGGACGGCGGCCCTCGTTGTGCCCCGACGGTCCTGAGTTCACATGCACACAGATCTCCACATCAGCTGGAGACAGGAGATCTTCCCCTGTGCCTCCTGTAGGGACCTCCCAGCCCCCGGCTGAGTGCTGGGACGGGAACATTCCGTGTGGAGACAGAAATGGGGCTCTCTCCATCCTCCTACACCTGTACTCAGCACATGGATCCCACCCGCTTCTCTGGGCTCCGGTGGCTCCAGAGGCTGGGCACAGAGTCACACTCACACTGCTGCTAATGAAAGCTCTAAGAACTACTGGGATATTTTGCCTTTTTATAGCCGAGTATCACAGAATCCCAGAATACCCTGAGCTGGATCCCTCAGGGATGCTCAGCCCAGCCCCTGTCCCTGCCCAGCCAGCCCAACAACTCCACCCTGAGCATCCCTGAGAGCTCCTGGAGCTCTGGCAGCCTTGGGGCCGGGACATTCCCTGGGGAGAACCTTTTGATTAAATCATCCTTTGAATAAATCAATCTGATTTCATGGAACAGGTTCATAGCACAAAGCAGAGCCACTCCCAGCCAAGCTTTTGCTGCTGGACTTGAGATCCTTGTGGGTCCCTTCCCACTTGAGATATTCAGTGATCCTGGTTGTTCTGCACTTGCTGTATCCTCAGATGCTGCAGTTTTCCCACCTGATGCACATCCTTGTCCCACAGTCTCGTGACTCACCTCACTGGTGTCAATCCCTTTGCTACTTCCTTACGTAAAATGAATAAAATTAATTATTTCTGGGACATGAATCAGTGTCTTGATCTTTCATCATCGCTACATTTGTTTTTAAAACAAATTTTACATTTATTTTTGGGAGGAAGGAAAGGATTTTGATCAAAAGCTGTGCTTATGCAACCTCAGGAAGGGATGTGGTTAGAGCTGGTCATGGAAGGCATTAAGAAAATCCTCCTCTGACGCTGCCTCCTGTTTGTCCAGCAGTTCAGAGAGAGGTCCCTTCATGCCATGGATCGGTGTTTAAGCCATTTGATTTGCTAAATCAACAAATGGAACAGATCATAGCTGAATTGGTCTTTTCCTTGGCCCTAAACTTCTGGAGCAGCTCCATAACTACCATATGGAGTGATGTTCCCATAACTGCCATGTGAATTTCTTCATTTGCCTCCTCACCCCGAGAGTTCTTTTCTGTTTGGGTGAGGGTTTTGAGCAAAGTGCTGATGGCAGAACTGGCCTTTTCCTGTCAGCAGGGGAAACGCACACAGCTATCTGTGCCTGCCTCCTAATTTACTGCCTCGAATTTAATTTTTATTTTGATTCCATCTGTCAGCAGATGGACGTTCTGTCAGAACCACGCCAGCCATGCTGGTGCCACGCAGGCAGCAGAGGGACTCCCCAAAGACGTGCCACAGCAGGCACAGCCTAAAGAGGCTTGGATTAACCACAGGGGAAGTGGGTTTACACCCAGCACTCCCCTTGGAGTGTGCTCCTGAGCTACTTGAGCTGGACCAGTGAGCACCAAGCCCTGTCTGCTCCAGCCTCATGTGGGAGCAGAATTGTAGGTGAGAAATGTTTTGAAGGGAGAGGAAGGACAGGCAACCAAATCCCTAAGACAGGGAGCGTTGGAGGGAGGTAGAAGGGGACTGAGGTACCCCACAGAGGGTCAGAGGAGGAAAATTGTCATGGCTAGAGGTGTCCAGGCAGGGTAGACACCTCTGCACCACCTGCAGAGAAAGCTGAGCATGTGCCAGGTACCGGAGACAGAGGATGCTGCAGCTGCCCGGGTGGGGTGACCCTTCAGGTAACAACACTCAGATCTTGGGGCTGCCAGGCTCAGTGGTGCCAGCTGTCCCTTTCTCAGCCCCATCCAGTGAGCTGAGAGCTGTTGTGTCTCCTCAGATGAAATGCTCATCCCGGGGCTGCCCAGGAGGGCACAGAACCTCTGTGGGGCTGAGCAGAGAGGTGAGTTCACGCCCAAGCCCACAAGCCCACTGAAATCCAAAAGGCAAACTCCCGAGGGAGCTGTGTCCCCGTGTGGACCCTGGCAAGACCCTGTCCCCAGAGGAAGGTGATGTCCTCCCTCCTCCAGCAGCTGCTGACGCACTCTGAGCTGCCTACACGGCGTGGGATCTCAGAGCCGTGCCTGTGCTCCGCTCTTGGCCGGGCTGTGTGTTGTCACAGGGAACATCTATTTCTCAGATTGAATGAGGACACAAGGAGGTGTTGTGACAGCAAGAATAAACACTAGGAGATTAGCCCAAAGGCGTGGGTGACACATCCCTCAGCATGGCAGGAGCCATGGCGCCTCTGGGCAGGCCCCGGGGTGGAACAGAGCAGGTGGGGTAGGGGAGGCACAGAGGAAGGGCAGGAGATCAAACAGAGCGAGAGGCACCGCCAGGGCTGTGTGGGGGATGGGATATTCCCTTATTTTCTGTTTGGATTTTGGTGTCAAGGCCTGCAACCAAAGGTCAGTGAACAGTAGGACAGCGCGGCAGCTCTGGCCAGCTTGTGATGAGTGGGCTGTTTTCCTGGAGGTGAGCCCTGTGTTTTTGTTGAGCTGGTCACTCACATGGGCTTCCTGACTGCTGAGCTTGCACTAACTCTGTTTGGGATCTAGGTGTGTTCCAGAGGGATCAGCGGGGGCTGGCCAGCCCCCTCCCTTGGGGGTTGAGCGAGCAGGGTGGCACAGCCGCCACTTGAGAAGCTTTTCTCAGCCTTTTCATGCACATGGCTTTGATTCCTCGCGACCCTCTGAGCACGGGGCTAGTGGAGTTTCACAACTGCTTCACTCTGTGTGTGAGCAGTGCCCGGGCCCACGAGCCTCGTGCTTTCCTTTATGGATTTGACTCTTTATTTTTCAGGAATGAGACAATCTCTGCTCCACACGTGCTTCAAAGGAGCCGTGCACTCACATCCTCCAAGTGCACACAGGCACTCCCATCAGTCCCTCATGCCAGCACGCTGTTAAACACCTCCAGTCAAACACCTCACTTGCAACATTTGGTGGAGTAACAGGGACTTGCATCTGCTCCAGGTCTGCCCCATTACTTTGATGTGACCCTGAGGTGGCATTGCCACCTGTGCTGCTGCAGGAACAGCCATGAGGAGAAGTACTGGAATCACCCTTGGAGGCACCAGCTGGCTGGGAGAGCTGTTGCTGGGAGTCCCTGTGATTATTCACATTCTTTTTCACATGGATTTTAGTGCAACTTCAGACGCAGAAAGCAAAGCTGGTTTTTGGAGTGAGGCCCTCTGCTTCCTGAGCTCCTCTCCCATTCCAGCAGTGCCCCAGGAATGCCTGAAGCAGGAAGGCCAAAGAGGCTTTCTTTGATTGCCCGCTGTGTGAGATCTGCCAGCACGCTGGCAGTGTGTGTCACCCACCCCTCCCTGCCAGCGCTGCCACCAGCACGTCCCGGTGTCACGTCGCCAGTGTCTGTGACTCAGAGATAAGATGGAGGCACGTTTTTTTCTCAGTTTAAAAACACGTCCCTCGTCACCACAGGACATCGTCAGCCTCACGCACATGAGGCCAACGCTGAAGCATCGCTGCAAAGCAGGGCCTCAGCCCAACCCCCGGGAAGGCCTGCAGGGTGGGGCCAGCCAGGAACCGCGATAAATTCAGGAATTTTGGTGTAGCCTTTGCTCTTCCTCCTTTCCCTGGAAAGCTGCAGGCAGGCACCATCCTCCCGGAGCTGCGTGGGCAGCGTGGGCAGCAGCCATGCAGCCGCCGGGGCGGGTGCGGAGGCTGGCGGTGAGGCTGGAGGACGGCCCGGCCCATGGCGGCGGGGAGCTGCTGCACGGGCAGGTGCAGCTGGAGCTGCGCGGGGCGCTGCGCGTGCGGGCGCTGGAGGTGTGTGCCCGGGGCCTGGCCACCGTGCACTGGCTGGAGAGCCACAGCATCGGCCTCAACATCGTCTACCGGGACTACACAGCCTGCCAGACCTTCCTGTACCGCCGCCAGCAGCTCATCTCCGGTAAGGCCGTGGCACGGGGGGGTGGCTGTGCCAGGCTGTGGGGTTGGGATCTCCTTGGGTGGGTCTGTGTGCCAGGGGATGGGATTGGTACCCTCTTGGATGAGTATGTGTGCCAGGGCGTGGGGTTGGGACCCTATTGGATGGGTCTGGGTGCCAAGGCATGGGACTGGAACTGCCTTGGGTGGGTCTGTGTGCCAGGGCACGGGATTGGAACCCTCTTGGATGGGTCTGTGTGCCAGGCTGTGGGGTTGGAACCCCCTTAAGTGAGTCTGTGTGCCAGGACATGGGTTTGGGACCCTCTTGGATGGGTCTGTGTGCAAGGGCATGGGACTGGAACTGCCTTGGGTGGGTCTGTGTGCCAGGGTGTTGAGTTGGGACCCTTCAGGCTGCAGGTGTCCCTTCAGAGGAACCTCTGCCCTGTGGGTGTTGCTGACCCACTCAGGGCTGTTTGCCCTTCTTCTCACCTTGGCCAAGGGTTCCTCTCTCTGCTGCTGGTTTCCAGGAGGCTGCTGGCAAAGCCAGGGCTGGTGAGCATCAGGGATTTGTGGCTTTTGTTGTGTTTGCACAGGGAAGAGCAAACACGAGTGTCTGTTCACAAGTGTGGAAAGAGCACTTAGTGCTTCAGCCAGTGTTTGTTTTTGGGTCCCTGATGCTGGGACTGCGTGCCCAGCTGGCATGTTGCTTAGATCTGCTGCAAGAGGACAAGCCACTTGCATGCCACAAGCCATTCTTTGTGTGCTTGGGATGAAATGATCCAGAGCTGAGGGATATGGGATGTCTCAACTGTCCATCCACTCGTTAACTCTGGCTTTTCTTAGGAACATGCATGTCTTTTATCCTCCCCTCCAATAACAGTGTCACAGCCATTCCTCTGTTGCTTTTCCTCCTCCTTTCCCTGTTTCTCATGGCCTTGTTACTACCTGTGGCTGGTTGCCCTGCCCTGGAGATGGCTGTAGGAATTAGGCTGAGGGCATTTCATTGTGTCAGTGGCCCAGAGAGTGGTGCCAGCCCAATCTGGCAAATGTAGATGTTACAGGAATAAACTGGAGGGATGGAAAGAGAATCTGAGTTGGCTTCCTGGAGGTGTTCCTATCTCTGGACTGTACTGGGAAGGTAATTTTCTCTATTTCTGGACAACTGTGCCCTGCCATCTGCTCCAAACACCTGCACTGCTCTGTTGTTTTTGTCTTTTGGCAGCAGCTCTTCCATGCTGTGCCTAAGGATGTCCCCTTGGCAGCTGCACCTCTACAAAGTGTCCAAATGACAATTAAGGCCTTGCCCTGAAGTGGAGGTCCTGAGCACTTGGTCATGCAGTACTTGGTCCATGTCCTGTTAGCTCTGAGGTGACAGGGTGAGTTTTATCCCCCACTATCCCTGCAGGGAACGTCTGTAGGGAAGCCACAAGCTGCTGCCAGCACCTTTAGATTCTGCTGCTGGGACTGTGTGCTCCAGGAGCCCCTGGAGCCATCTGGGGAAAGGCACTTGGCCAAGGGCTGCAGGAATTGCAGGAGCTGCTCGGCCTCACAGGCACCCTGCACACCTGCAGCTCAGAGCTGATGGTTCCTGCCCTCCCTGACTGCACAGGGAGTGCTGAGCAGAGAGCAGAGCCTGACTGCACAGGGGCTGCCTGGGGGGCAGAGAGCCTCACCAGAACTTGGGTTTTATTGTCTCTGTCCGTACACAGATTCCTTTTCTGCCTTGTGAGAGGGACACATGTGATCACCGGGGCGTTTTACGGGAATGAACAGCAGAGAGGGGCTGTCCTGCAGCCAAAATAACTTCCTTTGGATCCTGCTGTCCCCTGTTCTGTCCCCACCAGCAGCGTGAGGGCCTTCCTGATGTCAGCTGGTGAGAAACGTGCCACCATCCGACAGTCAGTCCCTGTGACTGCTCCTTTCTTGCTGCTTCTCCACGAGATCAGCTGTGTCTGCGTGGTGTTTAAAAAATGCAGGTTTTGTCATGGTAACAAGGCAGTGCAGAGGAGGGAAGCCGGGCACAGATAAGCGCCCTCCCTTCTGCTCTCCCCTCAGCTGAGTTTATCTGCAGTTTCCTGGCAGGGTGGTGAGTGCTGGCACTGGGGTGCTGCGCTGAGAGACAAGAAAAAAGTGTGCAAGAAGGATGTTCAGGCAGGGCCTTTAAACGTGTGTTGTGTAATCATCTGAGAGAGGGAGCAGGGAGAGAGGAAAAGACAGGGTGTTCATGAGCAAAGGCAGCAAAAGGAGAGGCCTGGACTCTTCTGCATGAGATGATGGGAGGATAGGAAACATAAATAATTGTTGTGCAGTGATCTTTTCTCTCCGAGGATCCTGCAGCACTTCCCAAAGGTGTAGTTCCTGCCCTGGTGAGAGGCAAACATCCAGAAGCCATTTTATTTTCATGGAGACATCCAGGAGAGTTATGGCATCGGGGCTCTCCTTCCTTTGTGGGGTGACCCCACCTTGTCCATACACAGCAGTCCCGAATCTGGCAGGGATGGGGCTGGTTCCTCAGCCTGGAGCACGTGCTTGTGCCAGGCTCTGCGTTGTCCCATCTCACCCCCATCCTGGGCTGCTGCCTTACCCATTTACCTGCTGCATTCCCTTCTCTCCGGAGCCTCGTGTGACTCCGGGCTCGGTGGGGAGAAGCCACCAGGTCGCAGCAGCAGGTCAGGAAAGGTGCAGCCCCCCATGAGCCGGGCAGGGTGTCAGCTCCTGCTGGGAGCAGCTCCTGCCTGGCCAGACTCTAGATGGGGCTGAAGAGTTGGAGATGGTGCCCTGAGTGCTGTGCCCGGCCTGGCTGGGCTTGCCTTGGGCACCTGAAAGGAAAACCCTTGGCTGTGCTCCCCACCTGGGGATCGCAGGAGAGAGGAGAGACCCTCTCCGAGTGTGGGGGTCCCAGAGGGGTCAGGGAGGGGCTGTCCTCCCTCCCCACGTGGCACAGCGAGGGACAGCCGAGGGCATCGCCTGCGCTGCCACGGGAGGGAGGTTTGCTGTGGTTTAGTTTGGTTGGGTTTGGTTTGGTTTGGTTTGGTTTGCAGGGATCCGCATCCCGTGGGCGAGGGCTGAGTCACGGCCCAGGGGTGTGTGCCGGGAGGAGGAGGAGGAGGAGCAGGATGCCAAGCAAAGAGAGGGGCCCAGCCAAGGCTCCAGCCCCTCTCAAGAGCCTCCCCACCTCTAATGTCACTGCAGGGACACCAGGCACCTTCCCAGAGCTGGTGTCACCAGTTAACTCGTGCTGTGACGTGCCTTCCTTCCTCCTTTCCCTCTCCCTCGGAGCTTTTGCTATGATTCATGTTTGCCCGTGGCAGCAAATGGCCGTGCACATAAAACAAACCACAGCCCCCTTCCCCCGGGGAGGGAGACAGACAATTCCAGTCCGGCCTTGGAAACAGCTAAAGCAGTGCCAGGCTTCAGCCCAGCTCATTTTTTAAGTGGCTGTGATCAGCCGAGTTCAGCACAGCAGGTCCTGCCCAGCATGGCTGGGAGCAACTCAAAAATCCCCAAAACTCAGGCAGCCAAATGCTGAGTAACGTTTTTAATGCCTGTTCTGTCTTATCCCCGCCCTGCCGGGGGTGCAGGGCTCTGGTGCTCGGCAAACATGACAGCCATCACCAAAGTGGAAGTTTCTAAGGCTTATTAACCCTTTTGGAGGGCACAGATTCCTCTCTTCTCCCTTTTACAACATCTCAGGGCGCTGCTGCTGATGGTGATGTGCCCCCTGGGAATCACCAGTTCCCAGTTTCCACACTTTCACCCCGGCTGAGCAACCGGCATGGAGCGAGTCCCTGAGCTGCTCCTGCCCATGCAGGTGGAATTTATCACTCAGTTTGGGACACCAGTCCCAGCAGGATCTGGTGGAAAACTGGCGCTCGCCTGGTTAACAAGCTCAGGGAAGAGGATTGCTCACCCTGTCGTTGCACAAGCTGAACGCCAGCCAGTTCTTGATTTCTTAGAACTGAGTGAAGTGATGTCCCAGGCATCCCCGCGTGTCAGGAGCCCAGATCCAGCTGTGGCCGGTTCCGAGCCCTGGGAACGGCTCTTGGGGAGGGAAGGATGTGGGTCAGTGTGGGGTGTGGCCCTCGGCTCTGGCCTGGGGGCACTGGAAGGAGTGAGGAATCCCCCCTGGCCACAGCTCCTGGCTGTGACCCTGGGAATGGGGATTCTGGACAAAGATGGGCTGGGATGTCAGTATTGGAGTTGCAGGGGGAGTTTGAGGGGCAAGGATGGGGATTTTGGGGGGCAAGGATAGAAGCTGGTGAGGGAGCTTGAGGGGCAAGGATGGGAGCTGCAAAAGAGATTTGGGGGACAAGGATGGTGGTGGAGGGGAAATTTGGGGGGCAAGGATGGAAATTAGAGGAGGGCTTGGAGGTCAAGGATGGGGATTTTGAGAGGCAAGGATAGGGATTTTGAGGGGCAAGGTTAGGAGCTGGAAGGGAGTTTGAGACGCAAGGATGGGAGCTGGAAGGGGATTTTGAGGGTCAAGAACAGGAGCTGGGAGGTACTTTTGGGGGGCAAGGATGGCGTTGGAGTTGGAGGGGAAAATTTTGGGGGTCAAGGATTAAGCTGGAAAGGAAATTTGTGGGGCAAGTACAGAAGCTAGAGAAGGGCTGGGGGCCAAGGATGGGAGCTGCAGGGAGTCCTGGAGGGCACTGAACGCCCGGCAGCAATAGGGAGTGTCCCTCCGAGCCTGGCAGTGCTCGGCCCCTGCCCAGCCCACGCTCCCGCGGCGATGGCTCGGTGCGGCACCGGGATAAATCGGAGAGCCCGGCTGGGACCGGACACGGCACCGCACGGTCCAACCCCCCCGGGCAGCTCTCGCCAGCCGAGGGGCCGATCCGCACATGCTCCCTGCCTTGTTTTGCAGAGCCCGGCGGGGCCGGCCCGGCCCGGCCCGTCCCGCCCCGCGGGGGCCGCCCCCGGCCGCGCCGGCCGCTTAAAGCCGGGCTCAGCCGAGCCGAGCCGGGTTGAGCCGCATCGCGCCGGTCGGGGCTGAGCAGCGCCATGATTTTCGATCGCCTCAAACGCTTCTCCATCGTGCTGGAGGGCGCGGAGCGGGACGGCCCGGCCGCCTTCAGCCCCGGGCAGGCGGTGTCGGGCCGCGTGGTGCTGGAGCTGGCGGCGGCCGCGCGGCTCGGGGCGCTGCGGCTGCGGGCCATGGGCGCTGCCCGCGTCCACTGGACCGAGTCCCGCAGCGCCGGCTCCAGCACCGCCTACACGCAGAGCTACAGCGACCAGGTGGAGTTTCTGAGCCACCGCGACACGCTGATGGCACCGCCAGGTACGGCATCCCCTGCCCCGGGGTAACGCCGGGGTGCGGCGCCCCCCGGTCGGGTGGGAGCACCGGACACCCCAGGGGCTGAAACAACGGCGGCGTGGGGCAGCCCGGACTGTTGGGTGCTCCAGACACCCCAGCCGGCTGAAATCGGGGTGCCTGGGGCCACCGGCGATGCTGGGTGCACGGCACCCCAAAACTGCAGGAGTCTGGGTGCCGGGGACAGCTCGGCTGCTGGGTGCGTGACACGCCAACAAGCTGAAATCTGGGTGCCTTAGGGACTGAGCGCTCTGGAAATGGGCTGTGGCGGTCCCTGCAGGCGCTTCACGTTCTGGGTGCACCCTGAAATCTTGGGGTGCACATTTGGATGCTGCTGCTGTGCAGGGCACCTCGGCTGGGGACAATATTCCTCCTTTTCTCTGAGCTATTCATGGCAGGGAAGCAGCGTTGGAAAAGTGTGGAGGTTCAGGAGCTTGTTTTGAGCAGCAGGGATTGGCCTAAATGAACCCTTCAGCCCTGGGCTGCAAACTCTTGAGGAGCATGGGGGCTTGGCTGGCCACTCTCCCTCCAGCTGGGCATCTTGGGCTCTCACTCCAAAGCTGTGGGGCAAGGTGGCTGCAGGCTGAAGCAGAGCCCACCCGGGGAAGTTGCCCAGCTCTCCGAGGAGGTGCCCCTGGGCTGTGCCTGTCTGCAGACGCATGGAATGCAGACAGTGCCCAGCTCTTGTGTCACAGCTGCTGCAGCTCAGCCCTGGCAGAAGCTCTGCTGTGCCCGCGTGCTGCTCCTTGCTGGGTGCTGCACACCTCTGTGACCTGCCTGGGGAGGAAGTTCTGTAGGAGGGAGCTAATCCTCCTCGATCTGTTTTGCCCACAGACAATGGTGAGGCCACTGTCCTACAGGCAGGAAAGCACGAGTTCCCCTTCACCTTCCAGCTCCCTGAGTAAGTTGGCATTTTTGGGGGGAGAGGACATCTTGAAAATGAGGTTTTTTTGAGAAAACCCTTCTAAAATTGTTTGTTGCTTGTGCCCAGGACCCTGGTCACCTCTTTTGAGGGGAAGCACGGCAGCGTGCGCTACTGGGTGAAGGCCAAGCTGCACAGACCCTGGTCAACAGTGAAGAAAGCAAAGAAGGAGTTCACTGTGATTGAACCCATCGACATAAACACCCCTGCACTGCTGGTGAGCTCCCCTTGCTCCACCCCGGGGCTCTGACATCCAAAACTTACCCAGGAAGCCCACGGGAAGGTGTCTGCCTCCCCTTCAGCACTACAATGCAGGCCTGGTTTCCAGAGGGAATATTACCCCCCTGTAACTTGTGCCCTCCAGCATTACCTAGGCTGGGCAGAGGTCAGCTGTGCCTCTTTGGTGTTGGAAACTTTAATGCATTGCAACAGCTTCTTGCATCAGATACGTGAGAAGTTGCTGATGCTCCCTGGCAGGTTCTTGGTGCCAGGGAGGTGATTGCTGTGAGTTTCATCCTTAGTTACTAAATAGCCTAAATATTTCTCTTTCTCCAGGCTCCCCAGGCAGGTGCTAAGGAGAAACTTGCTCGTGCCTGGTACTGCAACCGTGGCCAAGTGTCTGTGACTGCCAAGATTGACCGAAAAGGCTACACCCCAGGTAAGACCAGGTGCTGGGACCCTTGACTCTCAGTGAGCCCAGAGGAGGGGGTTTGGGTCACTGTGAGCTGGCAGGAAATCAGAGAGCTTCAGTGTGTGTACCTGATGCAGGCAGCATCCTGGGATGCTCCTCCTGGATGAACCCATATCCCTGCCCTATCAGACAGCGTGGCCAACCCTCTGTGGGCCTGTGCAGCAATTCCTTGAGGCAGGACTGGGCTCTGCCTCCCCTCCTCCAACGTGTGCGTGTCTGTTTTGGCAGGTGAGGTCATCCCCATCTTTGCCGAGATCGACAACTGCACGAGCCGCGCCGTGGTGCCCAAGGCCGCCATCATCCAGACCCAGACCTTCATCGCCCGGGGCACCAAGAAGCAGAAGAAGTCAGTGGTGACCAGCATCACTGGGGACCCCATTCCAGCCGGGAAGAGGGAGGTGTGGCACGGCCGGGCGCTGAAGATCCCGCCCGTGGGGCCGTCCATCCTCCAGTGCCGCATCATCCAGGTGGAATACTCCCTGAAGGTGAGGGGAGATGCAGGAATCCCCTCCTGCCCAGCTCAGGGGAGATATCTGCCCCTCCAGACTGGGAAAACACCACCAAGCTGAGCTTCCCTGCTGCTCCCTGTCTCGGCAGGTTTGTGTGGATATTCCTGGGACGTCCAAGCTGCTCCTTGAACTGCCTCTTGTCATCGGGACCATCCCGCTGCATCCCTTCGGGAGCCGCACCTCCAGTGTCAGCAGCCAGTACAGCGTCAACCTGGACTGGCTCAGCACCATCCCGGAGCAACTGGAGGGTGAGCATCTCCTTCTCCCTGGGATAAACCCTCTGATCAGGAGAGTGAGACACAAAGTTCTCTACTGGGCCAGTTTTGCTTTTTTTTAACATAATTTTTTTGGTTGTGGTGCTGAATCTCCTGGGTTCCTTCATCGGGGAACTGAGAGGCTTTGGGAAATAGTGGGTTTGAAGCCCTTTTTCCTGTGTGTCCCCCATTTATGGAGAGTGTTCCTGATGGTTCTGCTTTCTCTCCAGCCCCCCCTGAGTACTCAGCAGTCGTGTCCAGCCCAGAGGCCGAGCAGAGCCTGGCTCCTCCGTGCCGCAGCGAGCTCGGGGACATCCTGGAGGGTCCCTTCTTCGCCTACATCCAGGAATTCCGCTTCCGACCACCTCCACTCTACTCCGAGGTGATTCATCCCTCTGGGCTGGGGGGCTGCTGGAGGCTGGCATGTGCCACTGCTGAGGTTTTTGACTCTGGCCTTGGCTCTGCAGGTAGATCCAAACCCCGCGTCAGACAGCATCCGCCCGCGCTGCATGACCTGCTGAGAGAGGCTGCGTGTGGCAGCGTGACGATCCCTGGGGATGGCAGCTTGCACCCTCACAGCACTGGGGTCTGGAAACGGGCACGTGACACCCCGACCCTGCTCACAGCTCTCGGCCACTCCTGTCGTGACTGTCCCCGGGCCCAGAGCCAGCGCGGTGCCGTGGCCCCGGCACGGGTAGGAGAACACGAGGGGCTGGCGGTGCGGAGCCAGGCAGGACACGCAGGGTTCAGAACTGCCCTGGGATTTTGGGGTTAGAACAGGGAATTCGAGCCCAGATTGCTCTCCCCTTGCCTGCAGTGCAGAGCTCTGACAACTTCTGTCAGCTCCTGGTGTGGAAAACAGGAGCTTGGAGGCTTTCTCAGGATTACTGGAGAATGTTTGTTTGGATGGTGCTCAGGGTTGGGCCCCGGGGCGATGCAGGCGCAGCCCTTTGCCTGCGGCTCACCAGGACTGCAGCTCCCCAAGGCAGTGGAAGGTCCTTTTCTGGCTGGGTGAAGTAGAGGGCTCAGCCACTGCTGATACTCCTTGCCACAAGCCTGTGGGTACCTGCGGGGGGAATGGTTTGAGCCACTTAACCAAACTCTAAAGGCCTCCAAGGGCTGGTACAAGGACTTGGGGGATGAATTTATGATCTGTGGCAGTGTTTTGGTGCCATTTACTAAGAACTGGAAAGCTGGTTTGAGAGTGTCAGCACCTACCCTGCACAGTGTGCTGGTGCCTCCCCTGAGATGGGGCTGAAACCAACCCTCAAACTGTGGTACCAGCACAGGGGGCTGGAGCTGTGGCTGGTGGCCAAAGAAGAGAGAGGGAAGCCCAGTGTAAGGCTGGTGACAGCCACAGGTGCTGATGGGAGATGTGGAGTTGGGATGAATCCTTCAGGGCTGGGAGTCCTTGAGGCTGTGCCCATAGAGGGGTCAGGGCCCTGGTGGGGTGAGGACACAGCAGCAACCCAGCTCACTGGGTGGGAACCAGCGTGGGAAGGGTGAGCTGATTGTTGTGGTCAGGAGCCAGGGGCTGACCCTGCTCACTGCAGGACCCTGCTCACTGCAGGAGGACCTGAGCAGAGTTTGGGGGCTGAGGACCTTTGCATTCCCTCACTGAGACAATCCCTGGCCATGCACAACCAATGCCAGTGTGCCTTGGGCTCCGTGCTGGGGTTGCTCAGATGAGTCTTTTCTATCTGTGAACACTTTTGTAATGACCACTCTTTGTCTCTACTCTTTTTGTACTACTTTTTGGTGGGGAGTTTTTTTGTCTGAAATAAATTCTTTAAACCAATCTGTTGCCTGGATAGTGTTCTGTTCCTCTTTCTGCTTCCCGTTGTCTGGAGCCATGCTGGCTGTTGGGTTTTGGGAGTGCTCCCTGCCCTCTCTTCACTGCCCTGCAGGCACCCAGCTGTGCCCAGTCCTGCACTGGGATTAACTGGGTCACTCAGCCAGCACAGCTCCCCACAGGTTTGGTCCTTTGAGCCCCCAGCTCCTCCACATCTGGGCAGTTTTGGCACTTTTCCCCTTACCTGGGATGCAGAGCTGCGAGCAAACCTGTTGTATTTTTCCACACTTGCTTCCTGTTTATGTCCAGGCTCTGGGAGGACAGACACATTCTCCTCCGTCCTGGAAGCCTGGCAGGGACCCAGCAGGTCCAGCTGGGAGCTGGGACACTCCTGCATTGGCTCAGCCAGTCCCAAGGAAGGTTGGGATCAGCCCCATGCTGTGCTGGCTGGGAGCTGCTGTGTGGGAAGAGCAGGCTCCTTCACCTGCTTCCCTGGGCTGGAATTTGGTTTTCCACAGCATTTCTGTGCTCCACATCTCCACTGAGCATGGCAAATCTTGGTGCATGCAAGGCAGGGTTTGAATCAGGGCTTTAGGTTTTTTCTTCCATGGATTGTGCTGCTTAAAAGTACTGCCACTGGAATGTGATTTCCCCCCCACTTTTTTTTTTTTTTTTTTTTTTTTTTTTTTTTTTTTTTTGGTGCTTTTCCCCCCCACCGCCGTCCTAGAGTTTTTTTTTTTTTTTTTTTTTTTGTTTGCTGAGCTGCTCAGCCCCACAGCTGCATCAGAGCACGTGCTCCTGCCCTGGGCCAGAGGAGAGAACTTGTCCCTGTGTTTGCCTGTGAGAACCTGGTGCTCCTGCAACCTTTATTCAAATCTGCTTTTTATTTGGCATCCCTGGTGCTCTGATTAATTTTTCCCGGGGGAGGATTAACCGGCCTCGCAGGGAATTTGTTTGCATCCCCGTTTGGGGGGATCGTGTCTGGATCTGCCGCTGGCAGCAGCAGCAGCGCTGCCCCATGTGCTGCAGCCTCTTGTGGCTTTTTTGGTGACATCAAAGGGGACACGAAGCACAGCGCTGCACCCCCCAGGTGAAGATGGCCCCGAAGGCAGCCCTGTGACCAGGCTGATCCCAGCCTGCCACAAGGGAGCCATTCTGTGCCATCAGCGGGGCTGGCCGGGGGCTGCTGGTCAGCCCCGGATCATCTGCCCCGGCTGCACAAGGGGCTGTTTATTCCCCGGGCCCGAGGGGGAGGGGAGCGCCCAGCCCCCCGGCTCTGTCCTGCTGTGTCTTTCTGTGAAACTGCGTCACACGGTGACGGGGACAGGCCACCACGCCAGCCGGGGAACCCAACGCCGGTGGGCAGCGCTCCCGGTGCCCGTGTGGCAGCGATCTGTCCGGCCGGTCAGGGTTGGGCCCCGGGGCGATGCAGGCGCAGCCCTTTGCCTGCGGCTCACCAGGACTGCAGCTCCCCAAGGCAGTGAAAGGTCCTTTTCTGGCTGGGTGAAGTAGAGGGCTCAGCCACTGCTGATACTCCTTGCCACAAGCCTGTGGGTACCTGCGGGGGGAATGGTTTGAGCCACTTAACCAAACTCTAAAGGCCTCCAAGGGCTGGTACAAGGACTTGGGGGATGAATTTATGATCTGTGGCAGTATTTTGGTGCCATTTACTAAGAACTGGAAAGCTGGTTTGAGAGTGTCAGCACCTACCCTGCACAGTGTGCTGGTGCCTCCCCGAGATGGGGCTGAAACCAACCCTCAAACTGTGGTACCAGCACAGGGGGCTGGAGCTGTGGCTGGTGGCCAAAGAAGAGAGAGGGAAGCCCAGTGTAAGGCTGGTGACAGCCACAGGTGCTGATGGGAGATGTGGAGTTGGGATGAATCCTTCAGGGCTGGGAGTCCTTGAGGCTGTGCCCATAGAGGGGTCAGGGCCCTGGTGGGGTGAGGACACAGCAGCAACCCAGCTCACTGGGTGGGAACCAGCGTGGGAAGGGTGAGCTGATTGTTGTGGTCAGGAGCCAGGGGCTGACCCTGCTCACTGCAGGACCCTGCTCACTGCAGGAGGACCTGAGCAGAGTTTGGGGGCTGAGGACCTTTGCATTCCCTCACTGAGACAATCCCTGGCCATGCACAACCAATGCCAGTGTGCCTTGGGCTCCGTGCTGGGGTTGCTCAGATGAGTCTTTTCTATCTGTGAACACTTTTGTAATGACCACTCTTTGTCTCTACTCTTTTTGTACTACTTTTTGGTGGGGAGTTTTTTTGTCTGAAATAAATTCTTTAAACCAATCTGTTGCCTGGATAGTGTTCTGTTCCTCTTTCTGCTTCCCGTTGTCTGGAGCCATGCTGGCTGTTGGGTTTTGGGAGTGCTCCCTGCCCTCTCTTCACTGCCCTGCAGGCACCCAGCTGTGCCCAGTCCTGCACTGGGATTAACTGGGTCACTCAGCCAGCACAGCTCCCCACAGGTTTGGTCCTTTGAGCCCCCAGCTCCTCCACATCTGGGCAGTTTTGGCACTTTTCCCCTTACCTGGGATGCAGAGCTGCGAGCAAACCTGTTGTATTTTTCCACACTTGCTTCCTGTTTATGTCCAGGCTCTGGGAGGACAGACACATTCTCCTCCGTCCTGGAAGCCTGGCAGGGACCCAGCAGGTCCAGCTGGGAGCTGGGACACTCCTGCATTGGCTCAGCCAGTCCCAAGGAAGGTTGGGATCAGCCCCATGCTGTGCTGGCTGGGAGCTGCTGTGTGGGAAGAGCAGGCTCCTTCACCTGCTTCCCTGGGCTGGAATTTGGTTTTCCACAGCATTTCTGTGCTCCACATCTCCACTGAGCATGGCAAATCTTGGTGCATGCAAGGCAGGGTTTGAATCAGGGCTTTAGGTTTTTTCTTCCATGGATTGTGCTGCTTAAAAGTACTGCCACTGGAATGTGATTTCCCCCCCGTGTATTCCCCCCCCCTTTTTTTTTTTTTTTTTTTTTTTTTTTTTTTGTTTGCTGAGCTGCTCAGCCCCACAGCTGCATCAGAGCACGTGCTCCTGCCCTGGGCCAGAGGAGAGAACTTGTCCCTGTGTTTGCCTGTGAGAACCTGGTGCTCCTGCAACCTTTATTCAAATCTGCTTTTTATTTGGCATCCCTGGTGCTCTGATTAATTTTTCCCGGGGGAGGATTAACCGGCCTCGCAGGGAATTTGTTTGCATCCCCGTTTGGGGGGATCGTGTCTGGATCTGCCGCTGGCAGCAGCAGCAGCGCTGCCCCATGTGCTGCAGCCTCTTGTGGCTTTTTTGGTGACATCAAAGGGGACACGAAGCACAGCGCTGCACCCCCCAGGTGAAGATGGCCCCGAAGGCAGCCCTGTGACCAGGCTGATCCCAGCCTGCCACAAGGGAGCCATTCTGTGCCATCAGCGGGGCTGGCCGGGGGCTGCTGGTCAGCCCCGGATCATCTGCCCCGGCTGCACAAGGGGCTGTTTATTCCCCGGGCCCGAGGGGGAGGGGAGCGCCCAGCCCCCCGGCTCTGTCCTGCTGTGTCTTTCTGTGAAACTGCGTCACACGGTGACGGGGACAGGCCACCACGCCAGCCGGGGAACCCAACGCCGGTGGGCAGCGCTCCCGGTGCCCGTGTGGCAGCGATCTGTCCGGCCGGGATTCTTGTCAGCGCCTCCAGCTTTCTCTCGTACAGTCGGGCAGTAGCGCAGCGAGGTTGGGGGGCCATGGCCAAGCCGGGGCTCCTGCCAGGAAAGGGCTGCACTCCTGAATCCTGAACCCTGGAGGGGCTAAAAATACCTCGTCTGGACATTTGGAGCCACGGCACGGTGCAGACCCTTCCAGGCAGTGCTTTCACAACCGCTGGCAGCGCTGCCGGTGCTCCCTCCAACCTTCTGTTGTTTATCTGCCCCGGCTCCAAAGTCCTGATTGAACAGCCCGGGCCGATCCAGGTTTATTGGCACGGGGGGCTGGGGCTCCCTGGGGGGCTGCTGAGCCGGAACGGCCCCGTGCCCTGCGCGGCAGCACCGGGACCCGACCCCGGCCAGGAGGCGCGTGATGCAATTACAGTGCCGGGATTATTTATAGCTCTTGGCCCCGTGCGCTGGAAAATGCTGCCCAGACCATCCGTCAGAACCTGCTCCTTGCAAGGGGCACGGAAACCCACCCCCAGCCCCTGCTCTGCTCCCCTAGCTGTCGTTTTGTGCTTTTCAGCCCCAAAATTGTGGGACCCCTCGGCCGCAGGGCTGTTGGGAACCCCCTCCCCAGTGTGGGAACCCCTTCCCCAGTGTGGGATCCCCTCCCCAGTGTGGGAACCTGCTCCCCAGTGCAGCTCACAGCTCTGCGGGGCTCTGGGACACCCCGCTCCTGCGGCCCCTTTCTTCAGCATTTTGGGGGGCTCCCCCTCCCCGCAGCCCTGCCTGTGCCCGGGGGATGCTCGGTGCCATCTCGGTGGCCCAGCCTGCGGCTGAGGCCGCTGCCCGGTGGCCCGGGGGGTCGGTGGCGGGGCCAGCGCGGCCGTGCCGCGGGGACGGTGACACGCGGAGCCTGTGGCCGTCCCGGCGCTGGCAGGGACAGAATGTGCCGGGGCTGGCGCAGCCCTGCGAGGGCCGGGATTAGCTGCGCCGCTGCTGCCTCCGGCCCGGGCTCCCGTCCAGCTCCCCAAACAAGCACCGCCTTCCCCCATCGCAGCTGGGCTGAGCCCTGCGGGGTGCAGCTCACCCCAGAACCTGCCGAGGGGCACCCACCGGGGGCTGATCTGTTCGCACGGGGATGATAAATCTAGATTTTGGTTGAAGTGGAATGTTCCGCTCTTTCCCTGCGCTGGGGTCGGGGTTCAAGCGCTGCCCAAATTCAGCATCAGGGATGCTGGGCTCGCAGCACTCGCACCCTGCGGAGCAGCAGGAGGCTCAGGAGCGCCGGGACCTGCCCAGCCCGGGTTACAGGGTCCCTGAGCATCGCGGGGACTCGCACAGACCCCAGCAGCACCAGGCCTTGCTTTGAGCTCGCTCCAGCCTCAGCAGGGCTGAGGACGGCACGGCTCGGCCCTGGCAGCATCTTTGGGGTCGGGGACTCTGAGGCTCCCCTCCATGCGGCAGAGCTGTGCCAGGGCTCCGGGAAGCAGCCGCGCACCCCGACATGCCGGGGCGGCATCGCGGCCGCCCTCCGCCCGCTGACTCAGCCGCTGTTTGCCGGAGCTGCTCCCGCCCACGGAAACCGCAGGCAAAGTCCCCGCATCCCTGAGCCGGGGCTTTTCCCGCCGGCTCGACAGGAATCGCAGCTTTTCCCCAGCCTGGTGCGGGCAGAGAGCCCCTCCGGCTGCGGGGGAAAACTGCGGAGAAACCGCAGGATTTTTTTTTTATTCCAAACCGGTTTTTTTTAATGGCAAAAACCGGAGTTTGGAGCGGCCGGCTGGCCGTGTTGCATGTGCCACATATCCCGTCCCCTGTGAGCACCGTGCCAGCAGCATGGTGACATCACCGGGACACTCCACAAACCCCGATGGTGGCCGGTGCTGCCGGTGTTGTCTTTGCAGCAAACCGCCACTTTTATTCACTATATCAAAACCAACCCCTTGTTTTTTTTTGGGTCTGACCCCTCATTTGGGGTCCCTCGCTGTTGGCACTGCCTGGCCCCTTGCACAGTCACTCCTCGCTCCCTCCTTTCCTCGGGCAATGGAAAATTTTTGTGACTTTTTGACTTTCCTCCAGTTGTTTGGGAGCGAGGAAGGGGCCGGTGCCGCGCACAAACATGTCTATGTATAAACACTGGGGACCGCGCCAGGGACGGAGCCGCCGGCACCGGACCCTCCCCACGGAGCCGGGTGTCCCCTCTCCTGCCGGGACCCAGTGTGGCGTTCATGCTCAGTGACCCAGAGCCGTCCTCGTGGGGACACAAATATTTTGGCTTTGTTTAAAAAAAAAAAAAAAAAACCACCAAAACAACAACACTTAAAGAAAAAAAAATCCCCCCTCCGGGGTCATCCAGCGGCGGCACGTGATGTGTTGGCACAAAAACAAGGAGCTTGGGGACAGCGCCCGCCCGGCTGGGGACGGGGCACGGCTCCCACGCCACGCGCGGGTGGCACGGCCGTGCCCTGTGCCAGGGATGTGGCACGATGGACTTTGCTCCCAGCGCCGCTCCACGCCCGGCTGGGGCTGCCGTCACTCCCGGCGCCGCTTCACAAACCGTGGGGAAGTCCCCGTGCAGCCCCAGGTGGGTTGCCATGCCCGAGGGGATGTGGCACGGTGACATCCCCTGCCTTGTTCAGGTGGATGTGGCACGGTGACATCCCCCTCTGTGCCCAGGTGGATGTGGCACGGTGACACCCCACGCCCTGATCCCCCAGATAAAACTTTGTTCGTGTGGCACCAGGGAGGGGTGAGGGGCACCACAGTCACTGCACTGGTGTCGGTGGGGACACAGCTGTCCCCAGCTGAGGCCAGGAGTGCAGGGCTGTCACCCTCTCTGCTCCCTGTCACCTCAGCAGTGACGGGACAGCCTTGTCAAACCCCACGCCTCTGATCCTTCCTCCCACGCCCCAACCTCAAACTCTTCAGAAACCGGCTTGTGCTCCTTTTTTCTTTCCTATCACCCTGCAAGCAGCAGCAAATTTGAGCTGATTTCAACAACAACAACAACAAAAACCTCAGGCCAAGCTCGGTTTGGGGGGAGAAGGGCCCAACGAGCTCGCAGGGATGCCCACACATCGCCAGCAGCCTGCAATGAGCCCCCTCCCCACTTCCCAACCTCATGAGCAAGCCTGAAGGCGTTTATCTTTAAATGCGGGGGGCTTTGTGGAGCAGGGAGAGGGATTTTCCTGCTGAGCAGCTGTGTAAATGCCGCCGCATCCCGGCCCCGCGATGGAGCAGCGATAGCCCGCGGGGTCCCGGCTGGCTGGAGGCGGCTGCGCCGGGCAGCGCCGGTGGGGAGGCGGCTGCGGCGCTGCCGGACGGACCCGGAGGGGCTCGAGCCGGTTCCCTCCGCTTTCCCGGCGGTTTTGGCGTGTGAAAAAATGAGGGAGAGTGAATCTGCCTGCAAAGAGCTGGTAAACAAACACCCTGGGAGCGGATCTGCGAGAAGGGGGGTTGCTCTTGGTCCTGTGTTTATCTCTGCAAAGCTGGGCTGGCAGAGAGCTGGGATGAGACAGATGGGGGAGACTGCTGTAAAAAGGCGATTTTTTTGGGGGCTCACTCCTTATCGAGTTGTCCTTAGCTCAACTCTGGCCGTCTGCTTGAGCAAAATATGTTTATGCTGTGAAAGCTCCGGCCGGCTCCGCTGCCAAGGGGGCAGGGAACGCGTGTGCCGATAAGGGCGCAGCGTCCTCCCCTTCCCGATCACCCGATACCCGGGGCAGCGCACGGAGGCGGCCGCCCGCCTCCCGACATCCTGAGTTTATGATTTCTTTTACTATTATTTTAAAGTTTCCGTTGAAATAAAAAAACACAAAACAAAACAAACAAACAAAATCTCGTAATTCAATATCAATTCCCGTAATTCAAAGCTGTTGCTCTGCAGCTGCCAAAGCCTGGAAAGCTCCGGCCGTGCCAGGGGCTGAGCTGGCCCTGCGAGCAGCCATCCGAGAACACTGAAACTGCAGGGAAGAAAACGCTTCCTGCCATTCCCGGCCGCTGCGGGCAGGGAGAAGATGGTTTTTAACCACTTCTCCCGGCTGGCATGCTGGGGCTCGCAGCATCCCGGCGGGGCGTTCAGTGATCTGAGCACCCAGCGCCGCCCCGAGGGCAGCTCCGAGCCCCTCTGGGTCGGGGGGAAGATGAAATATTCACTTTCACTGCTGCTGCAGGTCGTTTTCCGCGGCCGGGTTTGGAAATAGCCGCGGCCCGGGCGAGGCTGCTGTAGCTGACGTGAGCAGGAAAGAGCCGGGGCGGCCCCGGGGCCTGTTTGCGAAGCAGAACCGAGTTGTTGTTGTTGTTGTGACACCGAATGGTTGCAAAACGCCGCCGCTGAAACCCCCGTGACTTTCAAAACAAGCTGAGCCCAGCTGCGGCCGGCGGCTCTCTGTCCACATGTGTCTGTCTGTCCTGCTGAGGGCCCTGCAGCCCCTTCCCCCGCTGGGATGCCTGTACCAGCAATTCTTGGGGCTTTTTTCTGGGTGAGAGAAGAGTCCTAGAAGCCTTTTTGTAAGGAGGAAAAGCCCCAGTTCCCCAGCAGCAGAGGTTTCCTACCACAGGGAACTGCTGGATATCTTGCCCAAGGGGGCTTTGCAGTGCTTGGGGGTGGGTGAGATGAGCTGTGTGCAGCCTTTGAATTCTGCCTAAAATAAAATAATTTAAAAAAAAAAATCCCAGGGATCAGTTTGTTTGCTTAGGGATTAAGTCACCTAATCTGCCAGGCAGCGGGTGGCATTGTGGAGGTGGTGGCAGTGATGGCTTTTTGCCCAGCAAATAATCCTGCCCCCGGCCACGGCTGGTGGTCAGGCTGGGCTCAAACTTCTCCCTGGCATCAGCTCTTCTCCAGGATGGGCTTTGGGGAGCAGGAAATGGTGCTGCGTGCAGGGAAAGGGTTGGGAGGGAGAAAAGGTTGGGAGAGGGATGTGTGGGTGAGGGAAGGGGCTGGCAAAGGGATGGATGAATGAGGGAGGGGGTTGCAGGGTTGTGACCTTCTCCTCTGCCCCTGTTAAAGCCAGGCTGTGGCTCCACAGAGCTGTTTCCCCGAGGCTGGAAAACAGGTTAAACTTCTCAACCTGGGAGCAAAACATCTTAATCTGGTGTTAAAATATCAGTCTGGGCCTGCAGGGATGGACTTCTCCTCCTGCAGGGGCTCAGACCCCACAAGAGCTGATATTGATGGGTCCTTAGCAAACCCCTCTGGCTATTTTGTATTCTATCTCTGAGATCACACCCCCCAAAATCAAGAGGAAATAGCTTCAAGTCATACCAGGGAAGGTTTAGGTTGGATATTAGTAAAAATTTCTTCCTGGAAATGGTTGTCAAGCCCTGGCACAGGCTGCCCTGGGCAGTGGTGGAGTCACCAGCCCTGGAGGGATTTAAAAGCTGTGTGGCTGTGGCTCTTGGGGATATGGGTCAGTGGTGGGCTGGGCAGTGCTGGATCAGAAGTTGGACTCAATGATCTCCAAGAGCTTTTCCAACCTTAATGATCCTGAGTTTCTATGAAATCTGTAAGCCCAGAGCAAATCCCCAGGCTGCCCCCACCTCCCTGCAGCTCCTTCTGGCTGCCCCACCTGCTTCCTTGGGATGCAGTGCTGAATTCTCCACTCCACAGGAGCAAGTGGAGCCAGGTCAATCCATAGGCACATGTCCCCAGTGCCATTTGCTTTTGGGGACACAGCACAGGGACCCTGTGAGAACAGGGAGAAAAGGGTTTTTTCCCCTTTGAGGGCAGTGATGCTTGTGCCAGTAGATGACATTGTCACCAGGGGTGTGTGGGCAGGGCTGGCACTGTTGGGTGTGAACAGGGGACCCCATGGAGTGACTTTGGGGTTGATGCATCCTGATGGCACTAGGCTGACCCTTGTCTTCCCTGCTGGGATGGATTTTGGCTGCTTATTCCAGAGATGTCCTGGAAGGAGTCCCCCTTGGTGTAATGAGTCCCCTGCTGGGTGTAATGAGCTGTCCTCTGGCTGTGGGTGGCAATGGCTCTTGCCAGGCCTAACCAATGCCCTGTGGCACGTCTGGGTGCTGTGCCGGGACAGAGGAGCAGGCAAAGTCACATCCTGGCTGCAAAAGCTGGCCTGGCAGCTGTCCTTGGGTCACCAAGCTCAGTGTGGCGCCTGGGGACTCATTTGGAAACCAGTCCTGTGAAATTTAAACTAATTAACAAGTCCTGAGCTGTTCTCTAGCACTAATTGGCAAGCCTGGCTTGATTAGTTTTCCCTGGCACGTCCATGGCTGCACATGGCACCGTGTTCCTGGCAGAGCAGTGGCCAGCTCGGGACACTTGTGGGGAAAAATGCACGGGGTCACTGGTGGGGGCAGAGCCATTGGTGGGGACAGGGCCATCCCTGAAGGTGTCAGAGGGGATGTGAGTGGCACCATGGATGGGATGGATCCCTGGGGAGTGACCCCATGAGGGGGGGTCTCGTGTCCCCTCCCTGCCCAGGGTGTTTTTAATGCAGTGTCCAGGTCTGGCTGTCCTGCTGTGAACTCGTTCCATGGGCTGGAATGATTAACTGGCATCGCTGGCCCCGAGCCTGGCCGTGTGTTTACTGCTGCCACCTGAGCGTGCTGAGCTTCCAGTGACCCTCAGCGCTTTCCCTCTTCACTCTGACCCCCAAAACCACCTGTAAACAGGGGCTGGGGCTGAAACCTGAGCGTGCCTCCCTGCCTGTAACCAGATACTTCCTCCACATGAGCCTGCTGTGCTCTGAAGAGAGCCTGGCATTGCCCAAATCCCCAGAAAATCCCCAAATCTGATCTCTGCGCTGCCCTTCTGCGTGGCAGGATGCCAGATCTTCCCCGTGCAGCTGATCCCCAGGGATCTGGGGGGCTGGAGAGGCACGGGGGCCTGACAGACTCCTGCCACACGCAGGGAGGGAGCGATGGGTTTGCTCTGCCAGGAGGTTGGGAACGGCCGTGGGGACGCGGGACTGGTGCCACCTCGTGGCGTCACCAGCAGCTGAGCCGGGCTGGACGCGCGGGACGGGACAGCGGTGGCACAGTGCTGGTGGCACTGCACAGGTGGCACTGAAGTGGTGGCACTGCACAGGTGGCACTGAACTGGTGGCACTGCACAGGTGGCACTGAAGTGGTGGCACTGCACAGGTGGCACTGAACTGGTGGCACGGTGCTGGTGTCACGGCGCTGGTGGCACTGCACAGGTGGCACTGCACAAGTGGCACTGTATTGGTGGCATGGCACTGGTGGCACTGCTCTGGTGGCACTGCTCTGGTGCCAATGCACTGGTGGCACGGTACTGGTGGCACTGCTCTGGTGGCACTGCACCTTTGGCACTGCCCTGGTGGCACAGTGCTGGTGGCACAGGACTGATGGCAGTGCACTGGTGGCACGGCACTGGTAGTACGGTGATGGGGGTCCCATCTGGATGAGACCCCCGGCCATGGGAGCGGCAGCACCGCGGCCGCCTCACCCCTGGGGCGCTGGGAACGTCCCCGAGGCCGAGCCCAGCTGTCCCTGCCGAGGTCCGGCTGCAGGAGCCGCCCCGGGCTCTCTCTCCGCTGGCATCGCTGCAGTTTCCGCCCGCGGGTGCCGCTGCTGCGAGTGCAGTTGGAGTGAAATGCTTTGCAAAACACGAGTGGAGCCAAGAGCAGCAGCGAGGAGGCCGAGTGTCAATGGCTCAGACACCGCGGCTGTGCACCTGGATTTCCCCGTGTTACTAAACCCACGTAGCTTTTAGGTTTTTAAGATTTTTTTTTTGCCCTCTCAGCAAGTAAACACCGCAGCATCAGGCAGAGAAAACCACAGATCGCTTTTCGTCTCCTGTTCTGTCCCAGATAAGGCCCGAGGCGGCGGCGTGGCTCCACGGGAAGGGGCTGGGGGGGCCCCCATGGATCACCCCCGTCCCGGCTGCCTGGCTGTGTCCTTCCCAGCCCCGTGGATTGAACCTCAGCTCTAAATCCTTGCTGTAATCTGCTCGGGTCAGGCGAGGAAAAAAACATCTCAGCCCTGCTGCTTTGTGCAGTTATTTTAATTTTTTAATGTTTGTGGGGTTTTTTTTTTTTTTTTTTTTTTTTTTTTTTTTTTTTTTTTTTTTTTTTTTTTTTTGGTCTTTGGTTTTTTTTTTATCTTTTTAGGTAGCTGGTGTTTAGTGCTGGGGCTTTTTGTGTCCCCACCAGGATACTGGTTCAGAGGTAGCAGCTGGCTGGGATGAAGTTCTGCCTCTCCTCCCAGTCCAGGCATGGAAAATACCTTCGGTCCTGGCCAGACTCTGCAGCCACCTTTGCTCGGGTTTTATCGCCGGTGAAATGTTGAGGCTGGAAATTACATGGCCAAAACCTGTCCCGGTGCAATGCTGCATCCAGAGGCATCGCCCTGGAAACCAGAAACCCCCCTGAAAGTGCCGGTGCCACCCTCGGACTGGGCGCTCAGCGTCCCACACAGACACTCCGCGCTCCAGGGGACGCCCCGTGCCCATCCCCGCCGCTCCAGCCTGCCGATGGCGGGGGATCCCATCCTTCCTCATCCCTGATGATGATGGGTTTGTCGGAGATGAGCAGGGCAATGGGCATCAGCGGCTGGTGCAGCCCCTGCCTTCCCTCCTCTTCCTCCTCCTCCTCCTCCTCTCCGGGTGGGTGCCCGGTGCAGCTGGTGCTGCCAGAGGGTGGAGATCCCACCGGGCTCAGCATCTCCTGCCTGCGGTAGGCGAAGGGCAGCTCCTCCCCACAGCCCGGCAGGGACATCACCGCTGCCGCCGGCTTTTCCAGCGCCGGGCTGGGCTGCGACACGTCGGGGTGTGGCACCGCACTCTGGGTGCCCGTGTCAGTCGTCTCCTCGCTGGGATTCGGCTCCGGCAGCAGCAGCTCGGCTGGGCTGAACCTCTCCGAGGGCTCCAGGAGGCCTGTCCGGGGCTGGCCCTAAGGGTTGGGTGGGTTTGGGGTGGAACATCCCGTGCAGGGCTGTGCGTGGGCATTTGGGGCTGTGGGATCTACCCCCTCCTGCACCTTTCACCTCACCTGGCTCATGTCGCCGGCCGAGAACTGGATGGCTTTGGTGCCCACGGGCTTGGGAAGGGGTGGGAAGAGGAGGCGGCGAGCCCTGGGGAGGGAGAGGTTGGTGAGGGGGTCAGCAATGATGGGGTGGCCTGAGCGGCTTTGGGGACGAGGGCACTCTGTCACCTCCTTTTGCTCAGGTGGTAGATGGCAGCTGCAGCAGGGACACCAAGCCAGATGCCCAGGTAGTTCAGGTTGCCTCTCCACGGTGCTCCCTGGGGTCCTGAGGGTAGGCATGGCTGAGTGGTGGCATTCCTGCCCCAACAGGGACACAAGAGAGGTTTTGGGGTGAGGGTCAGCACACGATGGGGAGAGCATCCCGTGGTCTCAGCCATTACCCAGTGCCTTGGTCTGGAAGGGCCACCAAGCACTGCAGGTCCTCTCGCTGTCCTCTGTCACCTCCCAAACACCCACCCTGTAGCCTGTGCCAGGCTGGAGGTTTTGGAGGGTGTAGTTTGATGCCGTGGCATCCACTTCACTGTCTGGGCAAACAAAACCGAACGTGGGGCAGTCTGGCACCCTCTTCCTGCCCCACGGGGATTGGGGGTCCCACTCACAGGTCACGTTGTCCCCCTCGGCCACGTGGCAGACGAGGTACTTGGCCAGCGCGCCGGGGCAGGCGGCCCGTGGGGACGGCTCCCACTGGAGCACAACCGCGGCACCCCCGGTGCTGATGTTGAAGGGCACATCCAGCGAATCTGCGAAAAACCGGGGGATTATTTCAGGAGCGCCCCTCCTGGAGCGCAGCAGGTGCGGACTGCGAATGCTCGGATGCTCCGTGCTCGGATGCTCCGTGCTCACACACGCACCGTTGCTGGAGTAGTGGTGCCACAGGGCGAAGGTGGCCCAGCCACGCTCCATGTCCCAGCCGTGCACGGCGAGGCGGTGACAGCCCGGCGCTCCCAGCGCTCCTGGGGAGAAACCGGGGCAGCTGGTTAGACCCACTGACCCCGGCTGGGGGGACAGCGGGGGCTTGGGGCTCTCCCTTGCCTGCCTGCACGTGGGTGCTGTTGGCAGGGAATTCCTGCCCGATGCAGACTCCCTGTTTGGGAGGCCCTGGCAGTGTCTGCTGTTCGAAGCAGAAGGCTTCGCCGGCCACCGGCGCTTCCCACTGCGCAGTCACGTTGCTGCCGGCCACGCTGACCTCCTTGAAGCTGAGATCTGGGAAGAAACGGGGGATATTCGGGGTAGCTGGAAAAAATAACGCCCTGAGGGCTGCCGGGGGAGCTCAGCGTTTCTAGAGGGGCGGTACCTGCGCGCTGCTCTGCCGGCACACGGAGCTGCTGCGCCGGCCCCGGCCCCGCGGCGTTGCCGGCGGTCAGCAGGATTTCGTATTCCGCCCCGGAGAGGGTGAGGTTGTGCTCTGTCACCTCCCCGGGCAGCACCACCGTGTCCTCCTCATGTGACCCTGCACAGCCACACGCCAGCATGTTGACGTGCAGCTTGTAGGTGACACTCCTCTGTTCCTTGAGGACTGGCTGGAGAGGAAAAGGGGGTGACTCAGGGGATGAAATGGTGGGGGGCACCCAGGAAAGCCCCAGAGATGCTGCTGTACCTGCCAGCTCAGCCTCAGCACCCGCTGCCCGTCTCTCCCCAGTTTGCCCAGCTGATGGCTCAGCACCGGCCTCCTCAGGATTTCTGTGGGAGGAACAGGCCTGATTGAGCCATCAACGTTTTTGAGCTGTTGGGATTTCACCAGGCTCCTCTCTCTCCTCTTCCTCACCCTCGGGAACAGAGATGTTGCTGCTCCAGTCACTCCAGTAGCTGCTCCAGTGGGGAGGCTTGTGCCGGAGCTGGACCACGAAGGTGCCATTGACCCCCAGGGCACAGGTCACTAGAGAGGGGTGGCAGCGTCACCTGGGGGTGACCCCTCCTTTCCCCAACTTTTGGCCATCACAGGCTGCTGGCTGGGGAGCACCCCCAGGAGATGTTTGTCCCCAACAACCCCACAGGATAAACCAACCTGAGTTTTCTTTAGCTGTCACCATCATGGTCTCACATGTCACCTGCAGAGAGAACCGGGCATGGAGACACCCTCCCAGTAAAACCAGTATTTCACTGGGACATCAGTGCTGCCCTGTGATCCCCAAACACCCCAGGGCCTGGGAGAGCCAAACAGTGCAGGGCACATGGTGGCCAGAGGCCCCCTCAATCCTGGGACACTCCTAGCAGCAGCTGAGAGGGATGGGGGTCCCCAGCTGTGACAGCTTCACTGGGGACAAGCATCTGGATTTGATCCATTGTCGTCATTACTATAATCTGGGTTTTTTCTGTGTAATCCCTGAGAATCCTGTTATGGGCAGCAGCAATATCCCATGGCCAGAGGACGAGGCAGAGCTGATAACCCAGGGAAACAGATGGGACACAGCTGGGTTTGGGGGGGACAGTGACATCACTGAGCCCCCACACTCTCTGGGCTGCCGTGATGCTCCTGACTGTGCTTGCCAGCTCCAGCAAACAGCATTTTTACCTGTGTCCAGCTGCTGCCTCCCACCCTCCAGAAGCGAGCCTCGTGCTGTGGTGGCTGCTTCAGGCTGCGGCACTGTGGCCGTGGCACCCGCAGCCTCAGCTGGCCACCAGTCTTGGAGAAGGACATCCCAGTAGGAGGTGGAACCAGTTTGACTGGAAAGATGAGGCAGTTTTGGGTGGTCTGGCAGTTTTCAGTGCCTGTGCTGGCTGCCAGCCCGGTCCCCGGGGCACTCACCAGCCTCGCTGAGGTGAAGGGTGTGGTTGGGGGTCCTGTGGATCTGGTCCCCCCAGCGTGCCTCCACCCAGGCCGTGGTGTTAACTAAGGTGTATACTTGGGTGTGCGAGAGGCTGTAGCTGGTCACCGTGCCCGCCTCAAACCGGTGGCACGGGCTGTACTTCTCAAAGCTGGGGAGGGAGCGGGCACAGGGTGGCACCCGGGACTCATCCCATGGGCTCCCCCTCCCCGCCGGCTGCCCAACTCACCAGAGGTTCAGGATGTAGGAGGTGTTGCCGGCGGGGCCGAGGGGCGGCCAGGAGCAGTAGAAAGGCTTGTGGGTGTCGCATTTCTTCCAACAGGAGAAGTCGTGGGCTGCCAGGGTGCCTGCGGGACAGGGCAGTGGCTGGAGGCTCCTGCATCCCAGCTCCATCCCGTGCATGGGGAGAGCAGTGGTGTGGCTGTTGCCTGCTTGCCATGTTGCTCAAATGGGGAATTAGAGCAGCGGCACCAGCGATTCTCACCCCAAACCCCCCGTGTTCCCCCTCCCCGGTGATGCCGGTGCCATTCGCCCCTTCACCATCTTTACTCCGTCCCTGTGGTTTTGGGTGAGTATCTCCATCTCTCTCCGGGAGCTCCCCAGGTCTTATCGCCCCCGAATCATTCATTGAAAGTCTTCTGAAGTTATCTCTCATCTCCCAGCACCGCAGGAGCACTTACCGCCCTGCGCCAGCGCCGCCAGCGCCGCCAGCAGCCACCCCAGCATGGCCCCCCCGGGTGTCCCACAGCGGATCCGGGGCTCCGCTGCCCTTCCCGGCTGCCCAACGTCCCCGCACCCCTCAGTGCCCCTCTCGGGCGTGGCGGCAGCCCCGGTGCTCGGCGCAGCTTCCCGCGCTTGGGGTTTCCTCTTCTGCCGAGAGCGTGCCCTTCCCAGGCGGGGCAGAGCCCCAGACGTGAGTGCATGCCCCACTTTTACAAAAAACAAAAGAGAAAGCAACCAATATATCCCCTTTTTTCTGCCGGCACGGCTGCCCCGCATGTCCCGGCCCCGCCACGTGCCCCGGCGCGGCCAGAAGTGCAAGGTAAGCAAAGATAAGTCTTGGGGTTTTTTTTCTATTTTTTTTTTTTCTTTGCACACAGCGTGTTTCTGCTGCTCTGCCCGTAACGGGGTGAATCTCCAGGTTGGCGTTCTCTGGTTTTTTTTGGGTTTTTTTTTTTTTGTTTTTTGGGTGGGGGTGCTGTTGTGCTTGTCCCCAGAGCCGCTCATTCCGTGCGACGCGAGAACAAAGCCCCAGTGAGGCAGGAGAGCGCGGTGGCACCGGGGCACCAGAGCCGTGTGACGGGGCGGGTGACCCGGGACGGTGGAGCCGGGTGGCACCGCGGGCCGCGCACAGAGTGCCCTTGTTCCCGCAGAAAGCGGCCCCTTGTGCGGCCCTTGCTCGGCGCCGGAGGGCGGCGGTGGCGGGAGTGTCCCTGCGCTGCTGGGACAGCGTGGGCACGGCCGGGCTGGGGGCACAGAGGGTCCCCTGGCACCTCCTGTGCCCTCCCTGTGTGCCCCCCTGTCCTGCCCGGGGTGGGGGTACACACCAGGCTGTGCTGTGCCAAACCGGACCGTGCTGGGCTTTGCTGTGTCACAACAGACAGCAGGACTGGGTAGGACTGGGCTGGACTGGGCTGTGCCATGCTGAACCAGGCCAGGCCAGGCTGTGTCATGCCATGCTGGGCTGTACTGGGCCACAGGCTCTGTGCTAATCTGTGGCAACCAGGACAGGCCTGGGCTGGACCACACCAGGCTCCCAACCCCATCCCTGCTGTGCCAGCCCCAGGCCCTGCCATGCTGGGCTGTACCATGCCAGGCAGTCTGTGGCAGCCCCAGGCCCTGCCATCTGTGTGCCAGAGCTGTTGTGCTGGGCTGTGTCAAGCAAAAAAGGCTGTACCAGGCCTGGGCTGTCCCATGCTGTGCTGTGCCATGCTGTGCCATGACGTGGCAGACTCTGCAGTGCCAGGATGTGCAGAGCCAGGCAGACTGTGCCAGCCTTTGCCAACCCCATGATGTGCTATACTGTGCCGTGCCACACCAGACTGTGCCACACTGGGCTGTACTGAGCCAGGCAGACTGTGCCAAACCCAGAATGTACCATGCTCTGTCAGGCACACATCCTGCCATGCCATGCCAGCCCTGTGCCGTGCCAGCCTCATGCCTTCCTGTCTGATGTTGTGCTGTGTCATTCCAGCCCTGGCCCATGTGGGGCTCATGGCATGCTGTGTAATCCCCATGCCAGCCCCATGCCGTGCCTGCCCCATGCTGTGCCAGTCCCATGCCATGTTAGACCCATGCTGTGCTGTGCCAACCCCATGTTGTGCCACTGCCATGCCATGCCATGCCAGTTCTGTGCTGCTGTCAGCCCCATGCCATGCCGTGCCAGCCCATGCTGTGCCAGTCCCATACTGTGCCATGCCAGCCCCATGCCATGTCAGTCCCATGCCGTGCCATGCCAGCCCCATGCTGTGCCAACCACAAGCTGTGCCGTGTCAGCCCCATGCTGTGCCGTGCCAGCCCCATGCCATGTCAGTCCCATGTTGTGCCAGCCCCGAGTCGAGCCGTGCCAGCCCCATGCTATGTCAGTCCCATGCTGTGCCGTGCCAGCCCCAAGCTGTGCTGTGCCAGCTCCATGCTGTGCCAGCCCCGAGCCATGCCAGCCCCATGCCATGCCAGCCCCAAGCTGTGCCGTGCCAACGGGGTGAGCAGTGGGTGCTCTGGGTGCGTGTGGAGCGGGTGCTGCGTGTGCAAGAGGTGGGTGCTGCGGGTGAGAGGGGGGTGCTCTGCGTGTGCAAGAGGTGGGTGCTGCCAGTGGGAGTTGGGTGCTCTGCAGGAGTGTGAGAGGAGCAGGAGTGGGGGGCTCTGCGTGGGTGAGGTGAGAGATGGGGGCTGTGGGTGACAGGTGGGTGCTGCGGGGGCCAGGGGTGGGTGCTGTGTGTCAGCAGTGTGGGACAGGAGGGACAGGAGCCGGGTACCCACCCGGGAGCCTGGCAGGGTCCGAGCCCCAGCTCCGGGCACCCCCCCGGGAGCCTGGCAGGGTCCGATCCCCAGCTCCGGGTACGCCCCCGGGAGCCTGGCACGGTCCGAGCCCCAGCTCCGGGTACGCCCCCGGGAGCCTGGCAGGGTCCGAGCCCCAGCTCCGGGTACGCCCCCGGGAGCCTGGCAGGGTCCGAGCCCCAGATATGCCATGGGATGTTGGGTTGGTACCCAGCTGTGTGGGAGCTCCCGTGGGAGCACCGTGGTCCCTCCAGCCCAGCTCCCGATGCCGGTTCGTGCCGAACCGCTGTGCCAGCCCCTCTCTGAGCCCCTCTCTTGCCTGGCGTTGCTGCTCCCTTAGGCAGAGGGACGCCCATCCTGCTGCCCACCCTGCAGCCGCTCCCGCAGGAGCCCCGGCGCTCACTGCCGCGCTGGAGGGGTGATGACCGGGAACCCCCCGGCTGGCAGAGCTGAGTGCTGAGCCGGATTTTCCGGGTGACCTGACGCCTCCATCCCCATCTGCAGTATCCGGGGGCCCGGGCGGAGCTGTCGGCGCGGTTGGAGGATGGCACGGCGCTGCCTTCATCCGAGCTGGCAGCTCCGCGGGCAGCTGCGCTCCGCTGCACGCTCAGCCCGGGAGAGAGCCCTGTGCGGGAGCTGCCTCCCCGCGGAGGCGATGGACAGAGCCATGGCCCTGGGCTTCGGGGCCCGGGGCTCTGGGTGGCGTTCCTGGCAGTCCCGGGAGGGGCAGAGTCGTGGCACCCGGCTGAGTGCCCACATGCCCGTGGCAGGAGGGGTGGGAAGGGGCTCCCACCAGGGGCTTAATCCCAAAGGGCTGAGCAGCAATGCTGCCCCAGTGCTGCCCCAATGCCGTCCCTGGTGCTGTCCCTGATGCCATCCCTACTGCCATCACTGATGCCATCCTCGGTGCTGTCCCCAGTGCGGTCCCTAATGCTGTCCTCACAGGGATCAGCTGATGGTTAATCCTGGCTCCCACTGGGACTTGCCGAAGGGACAGGCACAGTGCTGGACAGTGCTGGTGTGTCAGGCACCCTGTGGGTGCCAGCTCTGTGACTCTACCCCCACAGGGGTCCTCAGGGCCACTGGGGATGCTCTAGGTGTCCCTGGGGACACAGAGTGGCCAGAGAGCCCCTGGCAGTGAAGGGTATTGGATTCTCTGAGCACTGGCACCCATAGATGAGTGTGGGTGACCATGGGGGACAGTCCTCTGTCCCACTGTTCCATCTCCACACAGCTGAGCTGTAAAACCCCCAGCGTGACCCGCCTCTGCCTCCTGCCCTGCACAGGGGCTGGTGGCCAGTGGCACAGCTCCAGGTGTGGCTGGGATCAGGCTGGGTGACAGCAGGGGTGGCTGAGGGTGCTGGGGGCTCCCACTCCATGTAAGAACCTGGTATCCCCTCACCCTGCCCGGGCCTGGGGTCAGCTGTGCTGGATGCACAGGGACACCCACACCCTGTCCCCTGTCCCTGCACCCACAGACGTGTCCCATGCCACCCCGGGGCAGACGTGCACCCGTGGGCCCCGGGGCTGCCGAGTCCCTGTGCACCCAGGCATGATGTCACCCGTTGCCATGGCAATGCTGCTGCATCACTGCGTTGCAGCGCGCCCCAATCCCGGGATTTCCACAGGGGCTGCGTGGCGTGGGCAGCAGGATGGGGCATGGCTACCCCGGGGTTTGGGGGGTGGGTGGATGGATGCTGCTGGGGGCCTCCACATGGGCGGCAGCAGCTCCAGCCCACAGGGAGCTCCGTGCCTGTGCCAAAAATGGGTCCTGGCTGCTCAGGGGTACAGGACTGGTGGGCACAGGGTCAGGGCAATGATGGGGCATTAACCAGCACCTGCAGCTGCCTCATGTCCCTGCATCCCACAGTGTGCCAGGGCACACATCAGCCTGTCCGCTCTGTGCCACTCACAGTGTGCTGGCAGAATCTGTGTCACTCTGTGGGGTGACAGGTGGCACACAGGTGGGGACCAGAGCAGTGCTGGAGCCGGATGGTGCCCACCACACCAGGAGGATGGCACTGGCATGGGTTCCTGTCCCCAGCTGCCCTTTGGCCCTTTGCACCACCTGTGAGCAAACAGTTCTCACAAGAAATATTCCCAGAGGCTGGAAAAATAAATAACCTAGGGGCTGCTGGCTGCTTCCCATTCCCGGGCCGGGGGGGACAGGGTGGGGGACAGGGTGAAGCCACCATCCTAGGGCCATGCTCCAGCTGGGCACATGGGTGCTGGTCCCACTGCACCGCCCTCGTGCCACCGCTCCTGGGCCTGGCCATGGGACCAGCAGCCCTGGGGACACTGAAAGATGTCCTCTTGTGCTGGGTGATTTGTCACCCTCGCCGTGGGCACTGCGAGTGGGGATCGATCCCGTGGTGACAGTGTGTGGCAGTGGAGGTGCTGCCAGGTGTGTGGGTGTGGCTGGCAGGAGTGGCAGGTGGCACCGCCGGCTCCCAGGGCCACACTCTGACCCCACCTCGTGCTTGTCTTGTTGCAGAAGGAGCTGAGCCTGCCGCGCCGAGGAAGAGCGTAAGTCCCGAGCTGGGCCACCCGGGGCGGGGTGGGTGTCACCGGGAGGGTCACACCTGGGACATAGCACTGCCACCGTGGGTGGCAGCAGGGATGGCTGTTGAATGGCACCAGGGCTTGTTGTCCCCAAATCTGGGGTGGCATCATCGTGTTCTCTGGCACTGGAGGGACCTGACTGCTCATCTGCTGGGGAGTACTGGGATGTGCTGGGGTTATCTGGGGTGTACTGGGGTTAACTGGGGTGTACTGGGGTGTTTGTGCTCTGCTGTAAGTGTGTTGGGGTGTTCT